CACACACACAGCCACGGCTCACACACACAGCCACGGCTCACACACACAGCCACGGCTCACACACACAGCCACGGCTCCCCGGGGCAGCATCTCCGCCGTGCGCTCAGGGAGCGATGCAGCAACACAGGTGATTAACCAGCTATTCACTGAGGTACGGAAGGGAAATGGCAAGGGTTTATCTGCTCTCAGCAGAGGAGAGGGCAGCCGGTGCCCCCCAGCACAGAGGCTGGTGGAGAAGGGGCAGCACCCTGGCACCAGGAGCAAGTCTTTAAGTCACTTAAACAATAAGACATCACATGGCAATTCAGTGCCTTGTTTAACTATGGAATATTTGGCTAATTTAATTCTTTTTCATACTTCCCCCCCCCCCAGGTTTTCCATTTCCCACTGAACCGGGGCTGCTGCAGGCCAGCAGCACTGGCTATTCACAGATGCTCAAACCAGAGGCTGAGGACAGCAAGCCTTTGCTTTCACGGCAGGCATTTCTCAAATGCAGTTCTTTCTCTCCACCAAATTAGCCATGGGCTCACCCTTCCACAAGGACCAGCAAAGGCAGGGTGGTGCCCTGAGCACGGGCTGCTCCACGTGACACTTGGCAGCCACAGCCTCACTGTTTCAGCATTTTAGAAAAAGTTATATCTAGAAATCTTTGCCAGTCAAGACTTAGCTAGCATCACGCCTCCTGTGCAAGCAATCCATTTTATCTACATCTAATATAGTCCAGATTTTGTAAAATAATTGACAAAGAATCAGTTATGGGGAAAAAAAAAAAAAAACAAACAACAAAATCCATACCAGAAAGGTCTAATCAGCACATGGCATAGTGAAAAGTTACTGGTAGAAAATGAATCTGAAAGAAGGAAATGGAAAAATTATTTAAAAACCAAGTATCCCTTAGTTCCCTTGGAAAAATTTTGGGGAAAGTCCCAAATCTCATCTATTTATGAAAACATTAGGAAAATTACTGCAAAATACATTGTCAACAGCACATCAATGAATACATACAGAAGCAAATTACAAACCCAGTAGACTGGGGCTTTGGGGGGCCTGCAAGGGCACAGAAAGTGTTCTGAATGCTCAGTGGCAACACCAGCACTGGAAGGACCACTGTGTTTGAGCAAACTAAAGTTAGGCTATCCAGAGCCCACAGTGGCTCCTGGGGCTTAGCGAAGGAGCCCTGAGGACACACTCCCCATTGGACACCCCTCAACAAGACCTGTCACCTCCCAGTCCTGGAAAACATCAGATTGGCCCATTTTGATATAGAAATTATTCTTGAAAAAATCTCCTTTTTTTCTTCCCCCTATTGTTATACAGCTCTTACACAACTTTGACAAGGGGGAGGAAAGATGATGTGCTGCTAAACAGGCCAGATTGCTCATTGGCCTTCTTACCCTTCCTGCTAATTTTATTACACTACTTCAGCTGGAACAGACCAAGTCTTGAATTGCAACAAAATTAAGCAAAACCATTTCATTTCCAAGAAACCTGGCAGTAATAACCAGTAAACGTGCGTGAGATCCAGAGAACTGATGAAACAAAATTCTTACCAAGTTTTAGCAACTAGTTTCCTTATAGATTGTTAAGCAACCACAACCTACCTTCCAACTACACTAAATAACAGACACCATGTGTTCCAAGACATTCTTAAATCTTGTAAATTTATATGCTTAAGATTCAGAAACAACCAGGAAACGTATCAAAAATAGAGAGTTTGCAGAAAAATCCCCGATGCAAATCTTATTTAGAAAAAACTGAACTGTGTCTGATCAGCATCATTAAGATAAATCTCTAAATCAAAGCCTGTATTATTAGCTAAGCAACCAGGATGTCTTACCAGGTTGGGATAAAATGAATTTTATGGGAATTTGATACAATAGACAGTCTCTTTTGCTATTAATATTTCAAAATGATGATGCTTTCTCCCCCATCCTCTCTAGGAGCCTGAAACTCGATGGAAATGTAAGGATCTACGTCAAAATCTCGCCATTTCAGAGGAATTAAGGACACTAGCCACCAGGCCTGCTGCCAAACACAACTGCAATTGCTCATCAGTGGGAAGCCATATAAACTTTTCCATTAAAGTTTCATATGAACTTTTACATTCAAAGTTATCTCTATTATCTGCAAGTAATTACCAAAACAAAAAACAAACTACCCTAATCAACCCTGCCACCAATAGAAAGCACTACAGCCTCAGAGAAAAAAATAAACACATGCTTGTAATAAAGTGGGAATGAGTACATTGGAACACATGGATATTCAGGGACTAGGGATTCACATGTGGCTTTTTTCCGGCTGTTGCACTGGGCAGTGCTGCGTACCCCTGAAGTCTGACATAAAACATCTTTTTGGCATTTCTTGCATTGAAGAATTGTCCCAGCAAAAGTAACTCACCCACCTCAAGAGGGAAACAGTGTTTGCTTTTCTACCAGCTATCTTGTCCTGGAGAGCAGGCAGCAGTTTGGGGACACTGTCCAGGACCACACACAGATGGAAGTGGCCCAACGCCCAGCCCTGTGCGAGGGCTGCAAGGTCTGTACATTGGGTAGGTGGGCAGCCAAAGCCAAGCACTGGTTTACACGTAAAGCAGGAACAAAATGCTGAAAAAACTTAGTTTAAACCAATATGTAATGAAATTTGGGATTCAGATCTTACAGACATTACTTGCTGAAAGCTACAGGTGTCTATTTTAATACTTAGTAGCTTCACTAGAGAAAATATTCACGTTCTCTGAAACTTTTAGCTACCTTCCCTCCAGTCACAGCAGCTGGATCTCCGCCAGACAGGTACGGGCAGACACAGGGCACTGGCACCAGCTCTGGCCCTGAAGTTCAGCTTCAGTTACCCACCTGCAAAAGCTACCTCTCCTGGGAGCATTTCCTAATTTCCCAGTTTTCACTGGCACCTCAGAAGGCCAATAAACACTATCCAGCCCTTTCATCCCAAAATAGAAATATTTCTCCGCTGGCTGCCTCGCCCAAAGAAAAGGCACACCTGCCATCAGTTCCCTGGGTTGCCAAGGGTGCACAAATCCACTTTTTAAGAATCATTTCTAGGGAAAGCCAGAGTTAGTTTTCTACACCATTCACCTTTGATCTGCAAGAGAACATTTCAAACAGGAGGGCAGGCTGAGGGCCCCCCCAGGTCACAGCCCCAGCTCAGCAACATTCCCATCAGCTCCCCTGGGACAGCAGGTAAGTACAGTCCTGCTCTGTGCACACAACACAGACCTGGGGCTCCCTTTAACTTTCATTGCCAAGATGGAAACTGTGCATACCCAGAAATAATAACATCTTTAAAAAGTACTATTCGCAAGTGTTAAAACTCTTAAAAAAAAAAAAATTACTCACTTTTTCAGCTGCTTGGGTGTTCCTTTCCCTGCTGTCTCCCCTATTTTTTTGGTGTAGACAGTAACAGCAATTCAGATCTACAGTGTTTTTTATTTTTATTGTATCTATTTTGGAGCCTATGCCTCTCTAATGACTTCCTTAATATTTTCTGAAAAATTATGATGTTTATCCTTTCTGAAATTAGTTGTTATAATAAATTACTATAGTAGTTCTGAACTTGTTTACTTCTCTTTATTTTATTAAAGAGACCCCTAATAGCATTTTAGCAGCTATAGATGCCTAAGGGAAAAAGAAAAAAAAAATCAATTAAAGTGTCATATTATCCTAAAACATTTGAAATAAGAAGTTTTCAGTCTTAAAAAAAACCCAGTATTTTTGAAAGGAAAAAAACCGACAGAAAAAAACCGATTCAGGAAAAAGCTAATCATGGCTGATTAGAGGGATAAAATAAAGATCAGCTATGCAGCAGGGAAGGCTTGACATTTTGTTGGCACTATGACCCTGGGCATTTGGGGAATCTGTAAATAGAGACCCAAAAAAACGAAGAAAAAGAGGCATCTGTTGAGATGCCTCCAGGCTGGATGGTTACCAGCAATGCTTTGTGCGTTTGTAATCAAAACTAAAAGTACCCGAGATCTCTTAAGAATTCCAACTGCAAGCATCTAACATCACTTTGGGATCTGACCCTTCAACCCACAAACCTAGGGAAAATTACACACCAAATATAAGCCCTAGCACACCTGGACAGGTAAATAAGTCAGAAGCTTAGAGCTTTACATCAGGTATTTACCACAGCTGGTGCTTTTAAGCAGGGTAAATAACACATCATATGCAAATTAAAAAAAAAAAAAAAAAAAAATCGACCAAGCAGGATTAACTTTCCTGCAGTGAAAATCCAGGCTAAACTGGTAACTCCTGACGCAGCATTCAGTCTGAAACAGTCACATATATTTGAAATATCTGACAATAACAAACATATCTCTATATTATCAATTCTATGTTCAGCACAAATCCAAAATGCAGCCCCATACTGGCCATTGTGAAAACAGACTATCTGAGCCAAATCCAGGACACCCAGCAACCTCCTTAACAGCCATGTACCCAATTAACATAATTTGAATCCACTAATTTAAAACCATAAATTATCCAGACTCAGATAAAAATGAAGTGCCGCTGAAAAAACTGGACATATGGGTCCAGATTTGTGAAATTAATTTTATTTTTGAAACATGATATCCAATTACAAATAAATAATTCATACAATATAACTCAATTAGGATATACAACGTTCAGGCAGTTCATAGTAACAACCAAGACCACATTGAAAATGAGTTTACATTAAATAACCCATTACAATAATATACAACTGGTCATTTAATTAACATTTCAGCCTGGTCCAAGGTGTACACAAGTTGAAGATTGTTCCTCCTGCCAGTAAAGAAACAGATGTACACAATTTTATACTGAGTCCAAAGTAATTAATACATCACATTAATAGAAATTAAAAATGCTGCATTGCATTGCCTAAATGTAATTTTAGTACAGAATAAAAAGTCTGAATTTTAGCAGAACAAAGGTTATTGCAAAGGAGTTTCATGTCCTATAGCAATTTCTGCACAAACTTGAGTTTTACAAGGTGTTCTTAATGTATGGTTTTGACTCCATACCCTTCTCTGCATCCTGTCTATAAACCAGTGGGACGTAGGTATGCGTTATGTCCTTAGCTCCATTTGCATGTTGCTTTTTGCTTTCATTTCAGCACAGTCTTTTACTGCTCACCACAGCTCCCATGGAGGTGTGCCCCTGCCTCTGTGTGACCTGCAGCAGCAGCAGTGAACTTGCACTGTCTTCTCTGACATGTAACTTTTAAAGTTCCTACCTACCCCAGAACCACTATCCTCTGCAAAGAACACTTATGGATCTAAAGTGAATTTAGCCTAAAGTCCTGAAAACTTTTTAAGTAATTGTGGAAATTTAAAGGAGATTCACAGGATCCTTGGAATTTCTTAGTCAATCATTTTAATAATGATATTATGTAAATTTTCATAACAGAGTAAGTAGTAACAATTCCAATGATTCAAAGACCTGGGAAGCTTGTATTTACAAAAGTTTTGTTAAAAATCCCCCTCTTTTGGGGGCCCTTCAGGTGAGGTATATGCCCCTTGTTCTTAGTTTGAACTCAGATTGTATAAAGTTACAGCTCTTTCCATTACAAAATTCTCCACATGACCATTACTTCCAACCATGCACTACTCTAAGTTACTGTACAGCTGTCGGCAGCCCTGGGGACACGTGCAGTACATTCCAGCAGGTACTTTTGTTCCTGTTACACTGGGCATGGGAAGACACACCAGGAAAAAAAAAATATGGAGAGAGCCTAGGCAAATTCCCAGCTGGCAAGGAGTGCATCTCTGCAGGGTTTCAACAAAGTCCTCTACAGTTGTCCTTCTGCTCAGCAATGTGAGAGCACGTGGTGGCAGCCAGAAGTACCTGGCAGGCTTGGCAGCCTACAGAACCAGGGCCACCAGCGCAAGGAAGCCCCACACCTGAACTGCAACCTGATTTACCATCCCTTCCCAGCCCCAGTCACTTCCCAGGAAGTGAGGGCACCCACGGGACAGGCAGCCTCAATGGGACATGGAAGTATTCATTCTAGCAGTATTGGAATCTGTCTTTTGTTATAAATCAAAAGCAAAAACATACTCATCACAAGTATTTTTAAAAGTCTTTCTATCCCCAACACTGAGACTAGTCTTAATGAACTGCTTTAGTTTCACATTCTGTTGAAGAAATAAATGTGCACAATGAATCTGATGTTTAATAAAGGAAGAACTATATATATCACATCCATTTTAAACATAAACAGACCTGAACTATAAAATAAAAAATGCATAGTTAGACTGCAACCCCATCTTGTGACTGGATTAGAAGAAAAATTGAAACTACTATTTCCAAACAATTTTAAAAGTTTCATTTATGCAATTTCTCCAAAATGGATTTAAACCCTTAGCAGAACAAAATATTAACTTCAGATTTCTTTAACCAAAGCAGATTTGTTTTCTTACATCTGCTGCACAATGCACCAAGTGATATACATAATACTTCAGCAATTTATTAATTTTCACTAGAAAAAAAAATCACAAAAAAATATTTGAACAACGTACAGTTTGTGCTGAGTGTGAACTATTTAAGAATTTAAGACGGAGAAGAGATACATATTTAATATTAGCAATGTCTAATAAATGGTGTGACACTTCCCTACAGCCTTGGCAATTTTCCCACAGTTGGATTCTTCAGTCATTTTTCAACATTTCATTTGTGATCTAGATATCTGAAGGCAGTAATCTCATAAATACGGTTCCAATTTCTTTTTGATGCTTATCTATCCATTTGATTACTTACACCAAGATTCACCAAATGTTAACAGTTTTTCATGGACAGCAGCAGGAGAAACCCATGAATAGCACAAACTACCTTATCATTTCATCAAAACTGAAGTACAGGGAACCTGCTTGATAACTTTCAACTCCTAGGAAACTGCTTTCTACAGTCATTGGAAAGTGTTAAAGAATATCTCAGAGGTTTTTTTAAATGAGAATTTGCACATCCAATAGCTCCCAGAACTCCATGTCACAAACACTAACAGGCAGCAACTCCTTCCCCCAAACAAAGCTTCTGCCCTTCAGCATTGCTATGTGCTACTATAGCAGGGGACTAAGTGAGCATGAGGTCCCTGATTTTTAGTACTACAAGTAAAGGATACACATGAAAGTAATCTCCAAATTAAAGCCATTTTAATATTTGCTCCATCACAAGGTTGACTGATGTATGCCTTCTCACATTCTCATGTAACCGTGAATATTCTTTCCAGAAATATTTTGAAAATAAAATTCACACCTGAAATAAATCTAAACACTCTCATTGAAGAAAAGTTCCCACACATTTCTTCAAACAATATCCATATATCTCTAGTGAAACAAAAATTGAGGTTCCTTCCCAAAATAAGAATTTGGTGTAACAAACCAAGCAACATAACTCTGGCTGACAAATGCTTCAAATACCTGTTTTTAAAGCAAAAAGTGCTAAACAAAAGAACACAGCATCAAAGGGAGATTTTTAATGGCACAAAGGGCAGCTAGGCACTGTGTGAGCTGAGAACATAACTGTCATTATGACTTTAAAAATCCCCCCAGGAAGATTTGGGTTGCAGCTAGGGCAGAGCAGGGGTCTTGCCAGACTTTCACAAACAAAAAAAGAGCAAACCCAGTGTAATGTCCAAATCTAAAAGTTGTTAAGAGTCCCTCTGCTAAAAGGACACTGTCCAACCTGTAAAGTGTTAAGTGAAAACAATGCTGAGAGTTCATATTAGCACTACACAACTCAGCTCTGAATGAAATGGTCATGAGCTATTTAAGAAAGGAATTTCTGTATCTGAGAGATTATTCTTAGGTTTAACATCTGCTGTGTTAATAGCGATTTCTGTATTAAACGAGCTTTAACTAACACCCGCCTTGATGCAGAGTTGTGCCATGACCATCTTTCCATTTTCAGATAAAAATAAAAGTAACCATTAGGCACATATTGAAGGTGTATTACTCAAGCTGGAATGCCAAACATGTTCTCCCTCAGATTTACACAGAAGAACAGCACAGCAGCAAATAACCTGGTTCTCTGTTCAACAATTATCTTGTTACAAGCATTTTCAATGTACATAATGTCACAACATCAATACCTTATCTTTAAATAATTAGGTAAAAAAAGGCCCCCAGTATAACCATTTCTTATATAGCCAAGTTCTCTCTATATACATCCAAATTTTAAAGATACAAATAAAACATTATACAGGATTTATAAACATTTAAAAATTTGAGGCTTCAGAATCATGGTTTCCCAAAAAGACCTGGGAAAATCCACAGACTGACAAGGTAGCAGAGAAAACTGGAAAAAAAGGAGACAGACACAAGTTTGCTGCCGTAACAATTTACTAAACTTGCCAGTCATCATAGTGATGTCATCGGAAATAACAGTTTAAGCTGGAAATGAGGAATGGTGGTTTTGTGTGTTGATCTCAAGTGCTGAGTTGAGACAGGCAATTCAAGTATTTCCTATTTGATCCAAGCTCATCGTAGCAAAGTGGTGCAGAGGAGAATTATTTTACATTTTTTCCATACATTCGATCAATGTCCATTTGATAGTGCGCCGTGAGCTCTTTGCGTTTGAGCTTGAACGCATCTGTCACCAGACCAGTCTCTGGGGTCCAAGGATCAGGGCTCAAACGAATCTTCACTGGGATTTCAAACTTCTCCAGATTAGCTGTAAGGAGAAATATTTTGAATACAAAACAGAACTGTAACCATTTCGCTAAAATGAAGCACAAAAGGAGAAATCATTCTCACAGACAAAAGCACGAGACATAAATGAAGTGCTCCTCTAAACCCCCACGGTTAGCTTTGATAACCTGTGGGGTCACAAGCAGTGACAGGATCCACCAGTAACTGTTCTCCAGTTTCCACAGAAATACTGCAATAAAGCCCAGCTGTTCAGGTATCTGTGCTTCTCCCTAACTTCAGAAAAGCATCAGTGCATGGAAGTGACATCCTCAAAACATACACTACTGTAGCAGCGTTATGGTACTCAGCATCTGGAGACAAAAATCTTAAAATCCATACTACTTTAGCTTGAAAAAATAGGAGGGGGTAGTTGTTTTTTCCCTGATAGTCCTCAATCGATGAAGGAAATTAAGTTCATATGGCAGCTGGTCCCTGTCCTGAAACAGAACAGTGCTCTGCATGTTACACACTTAGCACAAAACACTATCATTTGCAAGAACTTCTGCAATGGTTTCAGATACAAGAGAAAAAAACAACTTAGAAAAGTAACCAACAGATGAGCAATAATCTGAACAAAACATCTATTTTCAAGTTAAATTTCAAAAATATACACAAATGCATAGTTATCCTGTGCAATCTGCCATTTTTAGATTGTAGAAGAGGTGCAGAAGGACATTGTGATACTGAGCAACTGAAAAACAGCAGAAAACAGTCACTGCAGAGAAACATCAAAGAGAATGTGTATGAAAAATTTAACATTCCCAATGACCATTTAAAAAAAACATTCTGTGGTCATAAGTGACAGCTTTATGAAAAAAACACAGTGATTAGGAATGGCCAAAAGCAAAAATAAGGCAGAAATTATTCTGGAGAATAAACAAACTATCACTGTGCCACTGTTTCATTCTGCACCAGAACAGCCTAACAGACTATGACCAATTAGCATGAAAAAGATACAGCTGAGGGGGAAGTATAATCGACACCAGAAGTATCATGACCACCATTGTGACTGTCCACTGCCTCTCCCACACCAGAGCTCAGCAGAACCAACCCCAGCTGGCAGATGGCAGGGTTGGAACAAACCAGGCATTTCTTCACACAAATGTGGCTGAATTGTGCAACTCTGCTACAAGATACTGTGGATACTGATACAGAATATTTGAGTAATTTTCAAGTGTGGCAGAAGAGTTAACGGAAGAAAAAATCTACTGAAAGTTACTATCTGCAGAGATGCTGCTTTAGTTTTGGAAATCCCTCAGATGCAAGTAACTGGAAACCAGGAGAGCCCCTGTCTCCATGGGTTTATTTCAACTCTGCATCAGGACGTACCATGTGAGACTGTGTGACACACAACACATGCCATGGATCTACAGATGACACACATTATTTTTGGACCATCAGCTAAGGCCAAAAAGATACTACAGGACATCTTAAAGAACACCAGACACACATACACCCATATATACAGGGAACTGAACTTGTTAAGTTTGTCCTGGTTTATATTCTTTCCTTGGCTATTGGCCACAGTAAGAGAAGTTCCATGAACCAAAATGATGCAACTCATGTTTCGTTGTTGGGGTCTTTTGGTATAAAAAACTTCACTTCATATAGGTTCTATGAAATATACACACTCCAAGGAATCTTTTTAGGGCCTATACTTACCTGTTTCACAGACATTACAGTCCACAAGGTTGATACCATCTACCCAGCCACTCACCTGCCATGGCAGCCTCAGCTAGCACCTTCAGTACCTCTTTTTCCATCTCAGGACTGTTACAGATCTCTTCCCAGGTTCCTTTAAATCCTTTTTTTCGAGCTAGTTCTGCGAGCTCCTTTTGATTTGGCACAACAAATCCAATGACATAAGAATGGAAACTGAGAAGTACAATATACTTTAGTATGAATATAGTAAAGTAAACAAGTCTTCAAAAATAACATTTCAAGTTGGGTGGGTTTGCACTTTCATACAGAGATATTGCTCTCAACAGCTGGCTTTTGTTCACCTGATAATATTTCTGAAATAGTACACAAGTTACCTTTACCTGCTTAAAAATAAGTAGAAAGAGAAGCTACTTACCTTACAGTAACTGGATTGCTTCAAGGTGTGCTGTCCATATGCATATTCCACTGTGTCTCATGCTCAAAGCTTTGGGAAGCAGTTCCCATACGGTGTCAATGCTCCCTGCCTCTCCTCATGTTTTGCATCCCGGTATGAAGACTGGTGTGCGGCTTCCCTACCTCAGTTTCCTCTCAACTGCAGAATCCAGTTACTGTAGAGGAGTAGAGGACTGCAGTGAAGAGGGGTTGGAGAGCAGGTTGTGGAATGAGCATATGCACAACACATCTCAAAGAATGCCTGTTTCTGTAAGGGAAGTGACTTCTCTCTCTCTTTAAGTGATTGTCCATACGCTCACTCGACTGTTGGCAATCTTTGTCTGCTCCTGATATGCCCAGAACATATGAAGCTGTGATCTCAAAGTCTTTGGAAAACACTGAAGCACAGTTCACCTTGAAACAGGTATTCAAGATTTTTCAGATGGTGTACAGTTTAGGGAAAATGTGAACAGAGCCTCAAACAGGAGCTCTACTCATTGTAACAAAGCCCTTCACAGAACCAGAGAGTTGAAAGCAAAATCAGATCATCACCTAATTAATTGACCTGCCCTGAGCAGTCAGATATATGTAACAAATGCTTGTCTAAATCGTTCTTAAACATGGGGCGAGTGCTACCACCACTGCTTCATTGCAAGCTCTTACTGATGGCTATTCCTGACTCCTCCTCCCTGCAGCTTACCTCAGAATAGTCAGATGTTCCTCTCTTTTCCACAGAAGCCATTTATTTATTCACAGACTGTTACTTTTTTTCCTTCTCACCTTTCTAGTCTTCCTTCCTTTTTTAAGTTTATTTACGAGTTTAAGCAGTGCCCTTTCCTCCTAAATCATGTATCACAGACCTCTGCCCAGACGTACCCATTTTTCTCCTGGACTCTTTTCAAGAAGTCCACCTTTTCAGAAGCACTACATGTGAAAATCAGACTCTTTAATGCTTGGTAGAGCAAAAAGATCATTGTGCATCTTGTAGGCAATACATTTGTTATGCCATACTTCCTTATAACTGCATGGCACTTGTTGACTCATGTCAGCTCCAACAGGCTACCAAGTGGTGGCTCTGATGCTGGCCTTCTGCAGTTGAGGTGTAAATATAATTTACAATTCCTCTCTTTAACCTGACTGCTGTTTTCAAGCAAATCTCCATCTAGCCAAGCTTGCTCTGAATTCTCATCCTATCCTCCACTGAGGCTTTAGTTCTATTTCACCTTAGCTATCTACAGATATATTAAATCTTTTCAACTCTCTCTTTCATCAGACAGATCATTAATGTAACATACAGAAACTTAACCCTGGTATGGAGATTACTGTAGCTTGTCCTTTAAGGTCTCCAAGATAATTTTAAAATACTAACTCTAAATATCCTTTTGGTTCCTGTACATTACAATTTTCTCCTTTGTTACTGACATGAATTATAATGGGCCTCTGACAGCAGTTGTGAAGACTGCATTAGAGTCCATTACAAACACAGGCTTCCCTGTCAGCATCATCACAAGCTCTGCCTGCTGGCTGCCTTGAAACCATTCTCATTTTGTTCTTACTAAGAATGTACTTAAAGAATGATTTCAGATTAGTCTCACTATCATTACTGCTTGCATCTCACTTTCTGCTTTCGCCTTGGTCTGATTTTCTTCCCCATGCACACTCATGCTCTGCTCTGCATTGAACCCTTGTAACTTCACCTAGGCTCTCCTCTCTAATGTGTATGTATCGCATATGAAGGCATCCAGAACAAAGGACTCTGCCTCTTTCATCCCTGGTTCCTGCAGTCTTTTGACATGCTTAAGGTCAAGTCCAGCAGTATCACCGGTGTCTCCACAAATAAACAGTACACAGAAATAATCAGTTGACTGGGTAAGCATTGAACTTTCTGATTCACCTAAAATTCAGCCTCTTGAGTAGAAGTACACTTGTTCGGGACAAGCAGGTTCATCCAACTGTGCTTTTTCCTGGAAAGAACACCACAGCTCCTGGAACGTGCAGCTTTTCATTCTGTTTCACGAAGTTAAATCTTCACTTGTTACAGTTCAAACACTAAAGCACTGTTTTGTCTCGAGAAGCATCCTGAAGAGTACTTCTTCTCTCTAGAGCAGTTACTTCCCTCTCCACCACTGTTCCTTCTGCAGATCTTTTCCATTTGGTAGCTTTGCCAGTCTTGGAAGTCATCACAACAGCATGAAGGAAGAAATTTTCAGACTTTGGTCCCCAGGACCTCCTTAGCCATCCCCCCCATGCTAAAAGAATTTGCCAAAATGTCTGTCCTACTCTATACATCCTCATTCCCTTGCTGTGCTTGAAATCCTATCCACGTGGAGCTCTGAGACCTACGGTCAGACATATTCAATGGCACTATACATCTGGTCCTTATCTCCTTGAGACTTCTGCTGAGAATTCCCTCAGGTGTTTTATTACCACGTTTGCTCATTTCTAAGGTAACTGAACTACTCATTTTCCTGAGGTGATGCTCAAGACCCACTTAATGCATCCTGGATGCATGAAGTGTTGATAAAGCAGTAGGAGTCTCCCCTGAAAGAACTCTAATCATGATTCCTTTCAGCAAACATTTTATTCCTTATCATACTGAATATTTATATGTGAAGTCAATACAGCTTCTGAAGCATCAATATCATGCAAACAATTTTGATTCCCTATTGCCATGTTCAGGGGAGCTTTGCACCCCAAGATCTAAAGTCAAATCACAGATACAACTCATTTATAAAAGTCTGCCCTCCTTGTCCTTTTGCATGGGGGAGGCAGAACAGCTACAAATGAAGGACTCCTCCTGCATAGGAGATCACTCAGGCAAAGTATAAGGAGAGACAGGATCTAAGAGGTCATAGGCACTGTTACAAAACTCTCTGAAGCTCAGACTGCTGAGGTGAGCATATACCCACAATGAAATGTGCATATGGACAATCAATCAGGGAATCTGTATGATGTGGCTACTTATGCCACATTACACACAATAGCCTGGAGAAGAAATACAGCAGCAGCAAAACCAATCTAGAACGTCTTGTCTTGTTTGTCCTTGATCTGGACTCTTGTTTGTAAATTACCTTTAAAAATTGCTCATAGGTTTTCCTGTTTTTAAATAATAGTCAAGACAGTCTATCAGAGTCAAGTGTCTGTCTGAGAAGTGCATTTTAGCTTCCAATGTTATTGTGACCTGACAAAATTAACACAAAATTTGATAGTATGAGTCCAATACTGAACTTCAATCCTAGAAGAACAGAAATCACCACATGTAGGAAGCTCCTTCTCCACAGACTATAGAGGGTGCTTGGAAAAGGCACATAACTTCAGGCAGTCAAAGCAATCAAACATGAGACTCACTCAACAGGTCCAAACCACAAATAAAGATTAATATAATGGAAATTTTCTCAGCAACGGCTTGCCCAATGCATGTTAGCCAGCCCACTGATCCCAAACTGTCAGGACTCAAGTTTACAGTTTACTACCATTAGTCAACACAAACCACCCAAGAACTACAGAGAACCAGGAGAACAACCCAAAAGTTAATTTTTTATTTATTACCACTGAGCAATTCTCTGGTATGCTTCTCCTGGCTTCTATCAAAAGTGGGGCTTTTTTGGACCATACTGGAAATCAGAATATTTCTGATGATTCAAAAGCTCCAAAATGATTTTTCAAACATCAAAATGTCAAAGAAAACAAAGACAACCTGAAGTATATTTATATGTGTAAGTCTCTATTATGCATAGGCAAGAAACTGTAGAAATACAAACTTAAGACATGCTTGAGCCCTTGTATGCCTCATTTATTAGTGCACATAGAAAGCAAACAGAAAGGTCATTTGATCATCATTTATTAATTGTGTGTTTGCATAGTATTTAGAGTGTTTTAAGCTTCAAGGCTTCTGCTGGTGTATGCAGGGGTTAAAGAAAAGTAATTTTAACTCGCAAGCCAGCTTCTGGGCTGCCAGTGACTTTTTCTACTACCTTCCTCTGAAGTACCACAGTACTTCCTCTGAAAGACAGATCACAACTAAATACAGCAACAAACAAGGTGTCCTAAGGCTTCTATAGGTAATAATCTCTAAAGTGCTTGAGTGATGTCCATTATTAATGCAGTCAGAACTCAGCTGCTTTTCAGATTGGGGAAGAGGGAATGAAAGAGACTCATTATTGGCATTTCCAGCAAATAATGAAAACAAATGAGAAAAAAATAAAACCCACAGATTCCAGATGTTTTAGTTTTAATAAGGTTATTCCATTGTATTATATGTAAATTCTTTTTCAATTGATTAAAAAAAAAGTCGCACAACAAGTGGCAAAAATTTTTGCTTATGGCTTCAATAGGACAGACAAAGAACAGAGCAGTAAAAAAGTATCAGCTGCCTCTTACCTGCTTGCATACACACAAATATTATCTACCAGAGGGAGATTCTTCAGAGCTGCTTCTACTTTGCCAAGAGAAACATACTCTCCTGCCTGCAGTTTTACAAGATCTTTTTTGCGATCTATTGAGGAAAAAAGGAATTAAAAGTTAATTACAGAACAGAAAACTTTTAGACAACGATTTTAGATTTTTCTGAAATGCATCTATAAATACCAAAAGATAAGCTGACTCATGTTTGGTGAATGTACCAGAAACATTTAAAGTCAGGTTTCCAGACGCTGTATTTTATCAATCCGTTGCTCACACCAAAACAAAGGACATTACAATTCCATGCATTTTCTGCCTTTAGAACAGCATTTCCTATATGACAGCACCATCATGTGCATGGAAGACAACTAGGATTATGCAAAAGCCAGTATTAGCTAGGAGCACACATTTTGTGCTTTCTGGTGCAGACACTCAAGGCAGAAAATGCACCATTTGGTGACATTTTCTTATTTATTTCAGGCTAAATCCATATATAAAGAGCAACTGTCCACTTGTTACTTGAAAAACAACAACGGGAACCAAAAGTTAAGCCCAAATAACTCAATGTTATTGTACATAGCCCAAAGAACACAAAGGTGAGGATGGGGCCTTATCCCCAAGGTGTGGTGGCAGCACCTCTCCTTCACCGTGTACTGTTGTGCTGCTTTGTGTGACCAGGCCAGGGGGTTTGCAGCTGTCTGACCTCTCTGACCAGTGCAAGACAACTGCAATGGGACCTAAGATTTTTCTCCTACAATAAACCAAATAAGCTTCGTTTTCCAGGATTAAAAGCTCCCTGAATCACCTACTGATTTTAAGAGACTCCTGGTCATTTATAACGCACCTAATTTTGCACCTACAGGTGTCAAAAAACTATGAACCTATCACCGGCTTGTGTATTAACACCTTTATCTCAGTATATTTTCCCCTGGTTCCTACATGATAAAAGGACATTCTTATTAAAGAATGCCAAGATTTAAAAAAGGCTTATTTAGTTCCTGAGCACGTATCACCCCAAGAGCCTTTTCACCAATCAAATTCCACACTTTCACAATTATACAATCTAAGGCAGCTTATCTACTGAATTAGCTTATACTTAATTTTCTAATTACTACCCCGTCTCACTAACATATGGAGTCACTGTTAAGACTGTTTCAAAAGTAACCAAAAAACAACTTCTAAACCACACAAACAAGCCTCCATTAACATATCGGAACTTCCTGGGATAAATGGGAGGGCTTTAGACTGCATGCCAAGATATGGAGACTTTTTTGTTGTTAATTACTGTATTTAGCAGCCCTGAAAACTGTGAGTATATATACACATATGTTCACCTGAATTTAACTCACCAATAATTTTTAGACACCCATCATGATGAAACTCTCCAATGTCTCCAGTATGGAGCCACCTCTGCCCATTCTCATCAACAGTGAAATCTTTTTTGGTTCGTGCTTCGTTTTTGTAGTAGCCTGCAGTCACATTCTGCCCTCCAATAAGGATCTCGCCTCTAGGATATGGTTTATCAGTGTTGTAATAGCCACCTAAAACAATGGTGGTTTTAGTTAGCAAAATTAAAACATATTACAAAGAAAAAATTCCTACTATTTTTACTATCTAAATATAGAACTAAACACTGTAGTAAGTCTCTAGCCAAAGCTACCACTTGCCTAAATAGTTCATTAAGAGACGAAATGGTTCCAATTCTTTTCAGCATCTAAACAGCTATTAAACAGGTGTGTTTAACAAACAGTGATGTTCACACACATGCAGAGGCAAATGCCACCTCTGTGCAATCTTTCTGCCACGTACTAACACCCTCTATCAGTTCCACACAGGTTCAAATAAAAAAAAAAAATAATTTTGCCTCACATTTCAGGAAAGAAAAAACCTATAAGGTTTCCCTCAGGCCTAAAACAGCCTTAAGTATTACTTATTTCTACTCTACAATACATAAAAGCCTACAGCGAAAGGAAATCACCTAAATGTATTTCAAACTTTATTATATATATTTTATATAGCATCCATTAAGCTTCCACACCACGTGTCAATTTTTTAATGATTTTACTAATAATATTATGAAGATTATTTTAAAATAATTTCTTAGTGGCAACTTAAGATATCATACACACACTTCAGCTGAAGTTTCCCGAATCCAGCACCTCTAAGGCACAACACAACCTGCATGAACACTGATCTAAATCAGGAAGAGGTACAGTGCTGTGTGCATTTATACAATGTACATACACAAATAAGGTGACTGGAGTAAAAGAAATAGTATAGTCAAAGAGAGTCATAATACTACCAAGGCAAAATCCCACCTGCATCGACAGCCTCTGTCTAGATATTTCAAAGTTTAAAAACCACTGAGGAATTTATTTTACCTTTCTTCTCCCCAAGAGCAAAATTTATAGGCAAGAGTAGCATTTAAAATCTAAATAGCCAAGAAATAGTCTTCTAATTACTGCTACTGAGCAAGGTCCAATAAAAAAAAAAATACAGTTCTTACAAACATACTTCAATTTAATCACATACAGGAATTCTCACCTTCTTCCCAGTTCATTAACTTTATTTCACAACAGACCAAAGGTGCTCCCACTCTTCCTGTAGTGTAGTCCCAAACTAGAATTTTAAAAAGAGCATTTTTCAGAAAAACATTTAAACAAAACTGATTAGGAAAAAAAAAAAAGATCTTTTGTTGTCATGCATCTTATTTAGTGAGAATTAACTGCTATTTATTTTGAAACTTTAATTCATAGAACAGAACTTCCAAGAAAAACAATGGATTTATCAAGGTAATGCAGGTAAAATTCTTATCGTGCCAAGAGAGTAGATGGACTGTATTTATAGACACCCTGAGTTACTAAAAGGCAACTGAAACCATTAGGTTCTATTATATGAAATTAGAATCTGGTGTAGGCTTTTGCTTTCCATTTTCTATTTTCCTAACATCTCAATATACTCACCAAAATTTGAAAAAAATTATTCAGTTCAACTGCTAAGTGCAACAATGCCACGATCCCATTCACATTCTTATGGGTTGCTCCATCACAAACAAGAACATTCATTTTATATGTAGGTCACCAGCTTTAGCACAATGTGCCGAAATTAGTGCTCCCGCTGTTTCATGCATTTATAACAAGTAATTCCCAGGATTCCCCAATTACGCCTAGTGGCAGGGACACACCAGAGCATCAGGTCATCAAAGACGGCACATGCAGGACGCTCAGCACGGATCAGAGCACACAGTGGGATTCACGGACACCAACCTTCCGTGATCGTTCCGGCTCCAGCCGATTCCGTCAGCCCGTACCCCTGTCCCACAGGGCAGCAGAAACAGATGTTCATGAACCGCTGCGTGGCTGCCGAGAGCGGAGCTCCTCCACAAAGCAGGATGCGGATTTTCCCCCCTAGCAGCATTCGGACTTTCCGGAAGATAAGGCTGAAATGCAAAGAGAAGAATATATATTTGCTGCTCAAAACCAAAATGAGACAGTACCTGATTTTGGATCTGAACTGAAAGTTTCCACTATCTTCAAAAACACTTCTATGGCATTCAAGGAAAACCCTGAAGGAGTACACTGAAGTTTTCAAAAAGCTTTCTAAGCTTGTTTCCACATTCTAATTTAAAGAGGGGTTAAGTGTCTGAGAACAAAGATTTAATGAGACAGCAAAGTTCTGTGATTTTCTCCTAAAAATAATTCAAGTACATTGCATAAATTTTGCAACTACATTATCCTTTAGTCTCACTGAAGCTAGGAGTTAGACTCAATGATCCTTGTGGGTTCCTTCCAACTGGAGATATTCTGTGAGTCCCTTCTGTGAAAATGTGAAGTCTACAGTTTTCAATAGGAACAGAATTCTCATCTTACCCAAGAATTATATAAATCTATTATTAAATTCCTGATGAAAATAATGCAATAAATGTAAATTTCCAATCAGTTTACAGTTAAATAACACTCACTTGAATTATATCAGTAAATATTTAAATCCATCGCACAAACTACTGATTTGTTGTTTCAATTTACACTCATTTAGACTTGCTCATGTTCAGAGTGTCAACAATAAAGTGAAGAAAAGCACAAAAAGAAAATCAGATACTGCTCATGCTGTAAGACTTTGATAAGTGATTTTCTGGTGCCATTACAAATAAAGTTCACATTACCTATCGCAGAGTGGGGTAGTGTAACCTTTGGAAATCTGTTCCATTTTGTAATTGTAGGCCAATATAAATAGATTCCGCTGGAAACTTGTCATTTCATTCACTTTATTCATGACATTTTTGTAGATCCGATCCATAATTTCCTAGTTACATAAAAAGATTAACTTTAACTCAAAGAAACAGAAACTCTAAATTCAGTACAACAAAAAGAAAACATGATCTAGAATTAAAGTACATTTTAGGTGACAACCAACTCCCAGGTTCCTTCCTCTTCCATTGCTAAGAGATATCAAGATGATCTTAGAAAGGAGGAAAGCAAATGTCTGGGCAGGAGCACTAGTTAAACCCCAAGCTGCCTGTTGCCAACTCTCTTTATTCCACTCATTCACTGTGATGATCAATAAATTACTAACTGACTGGGAATCTAATCCCTGTAGCTATTCTAACTTTGAAAAACATTGTCACTCATATGATGAATGTTTATCCCCAACATAAAAATACCAAAATTACTATTTTAAGCTAGTTTATCAAAAGATCTACCTTTTTTACTTAAATGGTCATTGCATTGATTTTGTTGTTAAAAATTGAATTATGAATTACATCTTAAAATAATTTTTAGAATTATTTATCTTTCAGTTACTTACCGGGACAGCTGCCATTAGGGTTGGTTTAAGTGTAGTAACATCACCTTTGCTTCCTTTCTTTATTTTAGAGGACTAAAGTGAAGAACAAATTTACTAGCAGACATATTCAAGCTTTTTAACATGAGAAACAAAACGACATATCTTTCAAAACAATAATTTTTATTTAAATTATATTCTAACAATTAAAGCTAGTCCAGAGTATCAGCCATAATCCTCAATACCCTGTTTCATGAACTGTAGAAATGAAGATTTGTTGTACTGTTTTTTTAAGAAATATTACAGAGATCTGAGTAATTTTTTTTATTTCTTTTTTTTTTTATATATATATATATCCTCTAAGGACTTACATCTACAACATACCTGGTCAGCCAATGTCTGAGGTGAGGAGTAACCGATGCGGCACCCGTGAGACAGACACACAAGTTCAGCACTCAGCTCCAGAACATGGGCAAGAGGCAAGTAGCCAATATAGATGTCTTTTTCCCTGAGAAGAATTTGTGAAAGATAGGTTTATGTTGTACCACTAGAATCCTCAGATGAATCATAAGCAAGATTTTCTCAGAGTTTACCACAGAAGTAGAGAAAGTAGGAAAATGCCTTAGAGCTTGAGAACATATTTCAAATGATACGGGTTTTGTTTCAGAAGTTCTGTACTATGTACTGTAAGTTTAAGGCATGAACAAAAGGAGATGTTTACTTATCCCAAGACAGTGGGATAAGTAGTGTGTTATGGTTGCAAAGGCAACTCTGTGGACAAGATCACAAACTGCACCAAACAGAAAGAAACCACAGAATTTAAACACTAACCAAGGGAAGTACTGCTTAGGGGAGCTTTCAACCACTCAAGTGCAAGGCGGCCTCACAGGCTTTTGTGTCCCAGTCTTACCCACATAGAGAAGATGAGAGAACAAACAGCACATGAAGTACTCATGTCATTTAGTGCAGTACTGGAAGATCCTCAGACATCAGTACATAGTATGATGTGTCACAGACATAGCTACATTTATTTTTTCCACAGTAATTAATCTAAAATTATATCCAACTACATGACTTCTTTATTTGCTGGTAAGTAATGGTTGGTACATACCCCAGGTTTGGAATCCTCTCAGCCATTCCAGTTATCCCAGCAATTATGTTGCAATGGGAGATCATGACTCCTTTGGGAATTCCTGTGGATCCACTTGTGTACATGATCACTGCAATATCCGAGGGCACAGGCCTGGACGGCTGTTTGTTTCCTGCAATTTGTGTTAAAAAAAGAGAACATACAACATGTGGAGAGGCTCTCAGGCTGGGAGATGTGATCCACTAACATATTCCAGCAGTCATTGCAATACAGCACCATACGACTCTTTCCACTACATTTTGCTTAAAAAGATTGTGGTCCAGCTCAAATGCCTTCACAAAGAGTAGGAAGTTTGCATTAGCTGAGCAATACTTTGAGGGACTGTCCTAGTCTGCCAGGACAACACTCTTCCTATTATGTTTCTGCTATTCCAGCAGCAGAAAGAAAACTGAGCAGAACTTTGGCTTCTCAAAAATGTCACTGAGCATTTTCCCCTCGGGCAGGTTTGCTGCCCTGGTTCCATGCTGCTGCAGGGTCCATCCCCTCTCTGCAAAGCTCCTTTCCCACATGCTCCCTGGCAGGGAACACGCTGCCTCATTTGCAACACCTGCAGCAAGGCACTGCTGAGCCAGTGTGAGGTCCAATTCCTATACATATTTAAAAGAAGATCAACAGCTCTAATTGGATTAAAGTGCTTTTTAAATGCTTGCACTGAGAGCAAGAAAATACAAAACCAATTGTGTTTACTCAGAGGAAAAACGGCATAATGCACAATGCATGTGGCACAATGTGCACAGTGAATGAGAAGCATGAAAGCATATTTAATCATTTCCCACTCACTGAATCCTGCCTATCCCACACATTGAACAACACAGAGGAAGAAAATATAAGAAACAGCTCATCTACTTAATATTAATTGGACATGCTTGACCATAAACAATTCATGATAGTATTTCACAGTTTATGAATGGTTAACTTGACAAAGATAAATGTTCCTTTATTGTAGTGCAGAGTACGTGATATTTAAAAGACTGAAGAGAGAAGGATTAGACACTGTTTTTACACTGCACATAGATTAACAGATCTCAAGGAGCTAATGAATTACCACAGACATAATTTTTCTGTTGGTGTTGTATGAAACAGTTTTAATAGTACATAAAACTGGTACATCAAAAAGGGAAAACCATCTTTTAAGGAAATTGAGAGGTAATGATGCTGGGAGCAAACCTGCCATTCCCCTGAACATCAAGAGCAGACAGATTAACCACCCTCCCTACTCCTAAAATACAATCCAACATTCATGTGCCTTCAGTAGTCAAGAGATTCTGAAAACACAAAGGATAAGGACAGAAGAAAGGAACTATTGAATATAATTAAATCTTGAGATAGTAGGTTTGGCAGCTCTTCAGAGACAAGAATAAATATTTCTCATGTTAATAGTTAAAAAACCTTATGAAATTCAGAATTTTAGTTCTAAAAATGTGACAGATTAGAAATAGATTTCAATGCATTTACACAGTAAATTGATACTTTTAGAAATGTAGTAAGTGACCAAGTTCTATCAGATTCAGCTGGCTATTTTACATTTTTCTATCTGTGAATTTTACAAAACTTAATAGTAACAAACCACTGATTTCTTTTGTCATAAAATGCACAATGGTTTTGTATGCCCTGAAAAACCTGGTTTTAATATATCTGATCAGAAGAATGCTTTTTAAGTTTCTATCCTGGACTAAATGCTTATCCAAAATATGATCCTTCAACATCAGACAGTTGATTGTGGAGAAGGCATTTTCATTAAAAGCATTTTTCTCTGTTGAAAAACAAAACAAACTACCCCAAAAGCCAACCACAACCATACAAAAAGAAAATCCAAAATATTTCATTCAAAGAAAAGGCAGTAAGAAAAGGTTAATCACTGCATAATTTTGAGATCTGCAATTTCCCCAAGTTTACTCAACAGAGTCAGGGCAGGACAACAAATGAGATGGTCCAAACAGAAAGAAGAGAACCTACCAGCATCTGCCTTGGCCCCCATGGCTTGCACAGATGCCATCGTGTGAACAATGACACCCTTGGGAAACTCTGACCACATTGTTGGTTTGCCATCCACTGTAATAATGTGTCGTAGCAGTGGAACTTGAGATACAATTTCCTGAGGAAATAAAAATGTGTTCAAAAACTAAAAGTGAGGATTATGCCAACAAGAAAAAAAAACCAACCAAAAAAACAAGAACCCAACACCCCACACCTATCTACTGTATACTTTTTAAAAAGCAATGACATAAAATCTCAGATTTTTAAATATCAGAGGATAAACCTGTTGAGCTCAATTAGCTGCAAAGGTTGAAACTTTCCACTTACAAGTCCAGAAGCTTCTCCAACCATTTATTGATTTGTGCCTCATTTCATGAAAACCCCACAAATAAGACTGCAATGATTTGTAGAGATAATTGACTTTTCACATGCATAGAACACTGAGAGAAACTGATGATACTGAGCTCACAATAATTCTTAGGTTGCCCTTTGGTAACTATGTTACTTAAAATAAGCAACAGCTAGCAAAAATATGGAAAATTATTAATTAAGCATTTGAAGCAAAACAGCAGTCCTAAAACATTTATCAGTGTTCTAGTGGAAGAAGAGATGATCATCACCTCTAGCAGAACAAATACATTCTCTTACTGCAAGTTGAAATAAATGTGCATTGTATATATACTGTCATTGTAGAACCTTTTAAAAAGTTTGGGTCATTCTCATTCAATTTCCAGCAACAGCAGAGTTTTGCATTAAATTCCTTTATCCGAAAGGCCCCGTTTCCACCAAAACACATAATGATGAAACTCATTCAGATTAATTGTTCTACGTGGATATTCCACCTGGGTTAGCAAGTTGCAAAAGTTTTTTGACCACTCTATTGTTTAGTAAGCTTTCCCCCGCACAGAAAAACAGCTCTAACTCTTCAATCAGCCATCTTTAGATTTAAAAGCCATTCTCTGCTGGGAGAACATCCAGCAATAAGCCAGGAGGATGATCACATTTAGCTCTTCATACACAGTTTATAAATTTTTCTGTTCTTCCCATTGTTAGATTTATAGGCACTAAATCCACTCAGAAACCATGGCAGTTTCTTGTAAAGGTGTTCCAGGCAGCACTGCAGGTCTTCTATACTGCAAATTGCTCATCCCATTCTCCAGAGTCACCGAGGAGCCTAAAACCCACTGAAAGCAAACTATCCCTTTTTTTGTATGTAAACCTTATTCCATAAGTGCCTGCCTTATAGAAAGGCTATAAATCATTGTTCTGTACAATGGAACCAGGCCATTTAAGAATAATGAACAGACACACTGGAAAAATAGACAAAGAACAGTTTGCTGACCTTCAATTTTGTTTGCATCAGTTCTTTACTAGTGATGATGGTGGTCACCTCCGTTTCATTCAGCCCATGTACTATTGCCGGGCCCCCCAGGGTGGCGTACAGAGTAACAACTGGAACACAGAATGGGGGGAAATGCTGAAGCTCCGTGGTACATTTTCAATTCCATTTTACAATAAAGGACTGAGATTAATTCATTCCAAGTTACGTGACAGTAAAAATATTTGTCAACTCAGAAAAGCGGGACAATTTTGTAGTTAAAAAAATTCCTACCACATGGATTTAAATGCAGCACGATTTTCAGTTACTCCCAGAATGAATAAAGAACAACCATTGTCTATATGACTGTTTACTATTTTTTAAGCTCTAATTAGAGGTTCCAAAACCACATCACCCTATGCAATTCTCCTAGATCTACTCATACCTTCATTGCTTTACCAACTGAAAAGCAGCAAATGTTCTCAGTTTAACCATTGCGCAGCAGTCCTCTTGCACACAGGAAAGAAACAGCTTTCACTCATGTGACTTCTCTTTTCAGAATTCACATACTCTGTTACTAACCTTTTACAATTGACTACTAATAAATTATTACAACATAGCAAAATGTGTCATGAGCAGATGAATTCTCACACTCAGTCATAAATCCATGGCTATCCTATTCGCCCATCTATTTGAAACAACGTCATGTCAGAAAGGTTTAATCATCACAATCATTAGACATTAAACTGACATCATGAGAATCATACAGAACAGTAAAGAAAATATTTTAAGAATTGACTATAAGAAACACCGTTTCTTGTATTTAAGGACAGTTCGTTAGTGATAAATGTGTTAAAAAATTATTTCCTATTAACAACTTTTAAGAACATATTTCATTTCCTATCATTTTAATGGGAACTGAATGAGAACAGAAGAGACTGGTGAAGAAAAAGGCAGCTCAAAAAGGAAGAGAGGTATTGGTATCAAAAAAATCATAATTTCCTATTTTCCAAGCAGAACACAAAACATGGGTATCTCAAAGAAGTTGTAAGGTCAGTCAACACAACCAATAATTACCTGATGTGAAAAAACTTCCAGCATGGATGTTGTATCTGAATAACTTTTGTATTTTAGTCTGTATTTAGCTGAATATTTAACCAACATAATTATGAAAACAAGACACCCTACTGTATGTTAGGACTGTAACTCTACTATGCTCACTGCAGCAAGGATAAAAACATTAAAATTAAAGTTCTGTTGTATTTTAAGATTTGAAATCCAAGGAGTTACTAACCCAGCACAGCATACCAAGGAAGAACTCAAAAGCAGTTTTCTTACACAGAAAAGTAAATAGTTGACCTCTACTTATTTTTTCCTTGTTAAAACAGTCCATCATAGTTCAGAACTGTTGCAGGGCAAATGCACATGCACTGTGTTTTCTTTAATTTGGTGGGAGCAAAGTCCAGAAGAGTGCCTCTACTAGTTCCCACGAGCTCTCTCTACTTACTGCAGTGACCCCTGTTATATAAACATCTCACAGAAATTCAGCTTCCTTGAGCCAACAGCAGAACCGACACACTGCCCAGAAGGAAAAGGATCATCTCTGAAATAACCACGTATGTAGTTACTCATCTGCAAATAAGTACATTAAGACACTTAGACCTATATGACAGAGCCAAACAGAGAGACCATTTATATGATTGTGCACTTATGTCATGGAGAGAATAAAATTGAGCAATGACTCTGATCTCTGAAATTCTCACTTCTTCACACTGGCACCTAAAACTTTTTCAGGCAAATCTGAAAGTTTTGGCAATTTTTTTTTCTCTCCTTGTTCTCTTGAAAACATATCAAGAAGGGATTATTTTGTGTTCACCTTTACACATGCAGTAGTACAAGTGAGTCTTTGTTATCTGACCTTCTGCTAGGAATGCTGCTCTAAAATTCTAAAAAGAGAAACCCCAACACTACTAAATTTGCCAGCGCACATACAAGGACAAAGCCTTGCCCTAAAGAAACAAATTAACTACTGCAATTCATTTCAATGTAACTCAAATGTTAAACTGAGTATTTCAGCATCCATCATACATCAAAAATAAAAAGCAAAATACACATTTAAAGGCTTCAACCAAACAAATTCTAACAAAACCACTTCTGCTCAAGCTTTAGGAAGGTATGATTGAAAAGTAAAACCTGAGGTCTCCTATTTTGTTATTTGGTTATACATTTGGGTGTTCTATCTGCCTACACTGGTGAAAAGCTGTTCACATAGATGGAGAGGAGGTACTCTGGAAGAAAATCTGTTTTCATGTTATACTACTTTTTCCATTTTTGAACTAGCAGTCCCACTCTACCTCCTCAAGTACAAGACTTAGATAGCCTCAAACAATTCACATTTAAAAACAAGCAAGTTTTTCTAATCATAAAATTGCTTGCTTGTGCAAGTAATCCAAAACAAAAATTAGTTTCCCCATTTTAATTCTGTAGTGCAAAAGGCATTCTCTCCAACACTACGTATGAAACAGATGAACCTGCTCTCTTGGCATCAGTTCTGGGCCCACACCATCAGATTTCATACATTTCACCTTCAGAAAGAATGTCACAATGCTACCAGAGCAGTTAGCTGTAAAACAAAAAATACTAAGTCATTTAGCAATGTCTTGCCACACTACTACTTCAACACCATCTGAATTTTCTAATTCATTCAGCAAACTGACCGTGGATACCGCACAACACTCTCATCGTCTGCCAACACACAAGTCAGCCAAGTTCACATCAGACGACGCACAGCTCAGATGCCGAATACCACGTCAGACAGTGTGCTGGAGCACGTTGCAACGAGGGGATTTAAAACACTAATCCAACAAAACCAAAAACATATGCATTCCATTCTGCTCACAACATCCATCCCCTATCTCAGATTTCACCCCCCCCCAAATTACGAAATCTCCCTAGGATTTGTAAGTGTACTTCGCTACCAAAGGAAAAAAATGATACAAGCCTTTGAATTTTATTTATTTACAAGACTTTGAATGTTATATTTATTACACAAGCCTATCAATTTTAAGCCCTTGAATTTTACTGAATTTATTCAAAGGCTTTTATACAAGCCTTTGAATCTATATAGTCACCAGGAATCTGATAGATCCTAAAAGTGATAAAAGGGAACTGGCATGATGTATTACGAGACATGTAATTTAAAAGCAACACAGGCATCTTATCTGAGAATAGCCTGTGCAGGTCTCTGCTCTGACAGGCAGGCCAGCAGCATTTTCTCACTGAAGAAAGAATCAAAAACATCACCAAATTTAGGTTGGAAGGCACCTAGGAAGATCACCTGCACACACCATTCATTACAGCAGAGGGTTCAGAGCCATGGCCAGTCTGGTTTTTACATATCTCCAAGAATGGAGACCTCACAATTATTCTAGGTCCCTGTTCTGATACTGAACCACCTTTACAATGAAGAGGTTTGCCTTAATATCTAATCAAGTTTTCCTGCCATTCAACTAGTATCTGTCACCTCCAGTCTCAACAAAACACATCTTTGAGCAGAGTCTGGCTTCACCTCCTCTGAATGCTCCCATTGGATAGTTCTAGATGGCAACAAGATCTGAACTCACTCATCTTAATGCTGAACAGACCCTGATCTATCAGCCTCTCCTCAAATGTCACGTTCTCCACCCCTTCAGTCTCTTGGCAGCCCTCCACTGGACTGGCTCCAGTATGTCAATGTCTTTTTTCCTACAAGGAAGCCCTAAAGCAGACACAGTACTCCAGATGTGGTTTTACCAATGTTCAAAAGGAGGAGAAGGATCATTTCCCTGGACACTAAGTGCTACACTCATGCTACCACCACCCAGGATGCTGCTGGCCTCCACTGCAAGAAGGCACTGAGAAATCTGATGGACCCACTGCCCACCAGAACCCTCAGGTACTTCTCTGCAAAGCTACTCGCTCCAGCTGTCCCCCAGCCTATACTGGTACATGACGTATTCCAGCACACACAGAGAAAATTTTAAATGCCTCCACCAAACTCTATGAGGTTCCAGACAACACGCTTTTCAGCTGACAGGCTCCTCTCTACATCAGCCCTGTCCTTGAGTGTCCAGAGCCCTGTCCTCCTCTCTACATCAGCCCTGTCCTTGACTGTACTGGATGCTGCCCACAACATGCTGTGACCTCCTGTGTTTGTATTCTGTCCCATCATCCAGGTCTTCAATAAAGAAATTAAACAGTATTGGAGTCAATATCAACCCCTGAGGGCTGGCAAGTAACTTTGCCCTACTTATCCAGCTTTTATCTGAATCGTTTGGCTGTACAGGTACTACAGGAGCCCATTGCCAAAGGCCTTGGTGAAGTCACAATACAGGACATCCACTCTCTCCCTATCTACAGAGCCAGGTGTCATATAAGGCAAGCAGGCTGACTTTGAAATGCTATGTGCTAGGGCAGTGCTCCTTGCCATCAACTCCACCCTTAAAACTAAGGGAACAATATAGCAAAGGGTACACACAAAATAAGTCTTCACTGCATATCTCAGGTTATGTAAGTGAAAACTGCTATACACTCATCAACATATGATTTCTCAGACTGAAACAGATTCGTGCTCAGAGCAAAGACCATTGAAGATATAATAATCTTGTTAGGCTTGCTTTGAAAACCTGAAAAAAGTCTAACTTATAGACATTTTTGGTGTACGTAGGTAGTAAATCAGGAATTTCTGCACATGTGGCTTTTACGGCCCATCTCTTATTGAAGGAGGGTAAACACGGCAGGGAAGAGGCCAAAGCCCATGAGGAACAGCAGTTTTTAGTGTGCCCTGTGGGACAAGGAGATATGGACCTCTGAGAGCACCACAGAACCCAGCCAGGCTGGGCTTACAGTGAGGTGAATGACAAACCACGCTCGATGATGAAACAGATATTTAAACAACTATAGCAAGTTGAGATTAGCACTCAGTAGATTTCTTGGCAAGAAAAACAGGTCTGACCAAAATCAAAACCGAAAACCTGACAAAATATCCAGTTAAAACAAAACTTACAGGCACGGATGAAGGTTTGACGTCAACTCCTGAAACTGAGTTAATGAATTCATGTGTGATTTTTGTTTGTTTGTTTGTTTTTAGAAACTTGGGAATCTGTACTGATTTGAGATTACAAGAAGATAAACCTCCCATGAATTCATTGAGCAAACTCAAAATCATACTCCATCTGCAAACATGCAGGTTTCTCTATTCACTAACACAAAATGCTATAACGTGCATAGTCTCTACCTTATGCAGCATTTTTTAGTTTGTAAATTTTAATGTTCTATACAAAATACATATCAAGTTTTCTTAGTATGTAAAGCAAAGAAAAAGTTTTATTTTCAGACTGTGTTGTAAGATCAAAACTTCAGGGAAGACGTGGACTTACGCTGGTAGTTGCACATAAAGCAGGCCTGTGCTGCAATCATCCACTCAGCTCTGGTCTCACAGAAGATAGCGATGTTAGTCTTTGGTTGCTGACCCAACACTGCTAAGCCATTTCCAAAATTAACAGCTTTAATGTATACATCTTCATAAGAAAGCCAGGTGTACTTGCCAAGGATGACCTAATAAGAATAATAAGTTCATTTTAGAAAGTGAAAATCCTTAACACGTCCCACTACATCTTCACCCACATGAAGAGTCCACAGATGTCTGAAGTAACATGTGCTTGAATTATAACAGCAGTTTACTCAAGATAATCAATAATACTCTTGCCAAAAGCTACAGGGTCTGTGGAAGTTCCAACACAAATGCTGCAATATCTCCACACACGTTACCACCTCAGTTTCTATTTTCACGTGAGGGAAGCACAGGATTCCCACAGTGCTCCGTAGCTTCAGAAGCCCTCTGAAAGGCTGCATGTGGTCATCTGGCCCATATGCCTTTACTTTTTAAAAAGGTTTGTTTTATGTAAAGGGTGACAAGCACTAGCTGGTACAATTAATTCTTTATATTTCTTGTATATTCAGGCTACAATTCTCCTACACAAACACGACGCTTAGGCATTCATTTAAAAAAAAATTAAAGAAAGGTAAACTAGAATCCAGAAAGCAGCATATCCACAGGTCCTCAGTCAGAAATTGTGAAATCCCTTTTCCCTTCACTCTGAAACAAATGTCAAGGGGAAGAGTAGCATTAATTTTGCCCTTTTTTTACTGTTAAACAAAAGTGGGACTGAAGACCAGACTGGAAATTACTTGCAAATCTCAGTTCTGAGAAGTCACGTGGAAAATGTTAAGCAATCTCACTTTTCTTCTATATGGGAAAGCTGGTGCACAGTAAAACTGGATTTGAATTTACAGGCCATATCACAGATTTCTACATGTGCACTTGCACCTTGCAGTACTATTTTCTTACTGAGCGACAGAATATTTCTTTGAGGATATTCTAGATATTTTCATATCCAGATGTACTATGAAGATGTTTTACATTGAAAATCCAGACTCTAAATCATTATACCTTACCCATCTAGTTATACAAGCACACTGACAATTTTGAAAAACATAATTGTTTAGTCAAGTATTCCAGAAATTTTCTTTAACTACAAAATATTAGCAATAAATGCAAGCAAACACTAAAAAAGCTAGAAAAGTAAACTTTTCCTTTCTTTCCCATTCTTTTTTTTCCACATTTCACTCATAAACTTGAACTGAATTGCAAACTTGTAGGCTGTTTAATCTAACAACATTTTGGCATGTAATTACATTTCTAATGAGTATGTATTTCCACATCCACTTCCTTAATAAAATATATTTAAAAACCTCTCTCAAACTCTAATAAAAATTAAAATCTAGTAGATTTCTTTCATCAAAACACTTTTCCAAACTGCTGAAGTTACAACAAGGTAACTGAGTTGGCACCTATCAGTCTTGCTGCATATTGCTCATTAACCTACTTGTTTAGCTGGACAAACCTTTCTTTACTCAGGACAGGTACATGTGCATCTGCTCAGAAATTCCACAAATGTTTTCATGGGAAAACACCATTTAATGAGCTCAAAAAACAATACTTGCAATATATAGCAATTTTGCCCGAAAATACATATTTCTCACACAACTATCTTCTCAGGTTTTCCTGGGTTAGTTACAGAAACTCATTTTCATTGGCAAACAGGCTGTTTCAGAGCCAAAAACCTTACTGGAGCAGAAAGACTAGGTTGGAAATCTCTACTGTAAGCAGTGAGAGAACCCCAGCAGCACTGCTGCTGCACCAAGAGGCGGGAGCTCACCCCTGGCTGGTGCTCACTGCCACGTTCCTCTGATGAGAGGGGGATTTTGGGGTCCCTTTCAACACACCAAGATATTTCTGGTGTGGAAAACTCCTACTGTTTCCAACAAAAATATTGCACCTCTTCTCGTCCATACAAATTTCGGTAATTTGAAATTTAAATTCTAATTTGGGACATTTTTCCCCAAAGGCAGTATTTTTGGCACACTTGGAAATTCTTGACAAGCTCATCAGTTGAAAACAATTTATAGCAGTGAACTGGGTAACACCCTTTCCCCCATTATATTCTGCCTACAGCGTGGCCTCAGGAAAACTGTTCATAAATAATTAGGCCAGGAAATACAAGCAGATTCTTGTTACTGTTTCTGGTAAGTTTGCCAAGTCATAACAGGTTTTACTAATTTCCACCATTCACTACATAACTCATTAAACTTGGGAAAAAATCATTAAAGGGTCAAAAATTAATCTTGCCGAGTAAGACCTGAGATTCCATTTTTTTTCCTTTTTTTAATTCTCTTACATAATTCATCCTCATTACTTAAACAAGTTTGATATGAAGTAGTGAAAGAAGGTCTTATTGGTGCCTTCTTTTCTTAAAAAGGAAAATTCCTCAGGTAGGATGTATAGCACCGTTAGGTATAGTTATTTATATATATATATATAAATATATTTCTGAAGAACACTGACATGTGAAAACAGGTAAGATCATTTTCAATGCAGTTATTTTGAGTTTTACTTTCCTACTGCGTTCCATGTATTTAAATTTTAATGTTCCTTTCCTCTCCATGCCCAGCATTTCTTCTCTATTGCCTCCCTACATTATTTATACTATATACACATTAATGAGTAATATATATTCACATATACATATACAAATATTAACATACTGCCTCTGTCTGTATGTCCCTTTCCTCTGCATTTCGCTATACACTTCTTTTGCAGGGCACAGAGCAGGTTATGGTCTCTCTCAACCTTCCTTATTTTTTATGTCTCCAAATCCATCTCCCTTCCTGGCCTTTCCCTCAGTAGCTTTCGCTAATATTTTCCAGTGCACAGTTCAGGAAAGACAAGAAACTTTTGGAGAGGGTCCAGTGGAGGCTACAAAGATGACCTGGGGTCTGGAACATCTCTCTTATAAGGAGAGACTGTGGGAGCTGGGCCTGTTCGGTCCAGAGAAAAGACTGAGGGGGATCTCATTAATGCACAGAAATATCTCAAAGGCAGGTGCCAAGAGGATGGTGCCAAACTCTTTTCAGTGGTGCCCAGTGACAGAATGAGGAAGACCATCTCAACATGAGGAAGAACTTCTTTCCACTGAGGGTGGCAGATCACTGGGACAGGCTGCCCAGGGAGGTCGTGGAGTCTCCCTCTCCGGAGACATTCCAAACCCACCTGGACGTGTTCCTGTGTCACCTGCTCCAGGTGACCCTGCCTTGGCAGGGGGGTTGGACTAGAGGATCCCCAGAGATACCTTCCAACCCTAACAATTCTGTGCCTCAGTTTCTGCTGTAAACAGCTGTTAAGACTGACATTAAGTGCCATAATCCTTTTTAAACGTTCACACACATTTAACTTCACAGCTTTCAGAACTTGCTTTTGCTTGGTAACTACTTACACGTGTAAAAAAAGCAACTGTCTAAGAGTTGGCAAAAGGGGCCAAGAAGTGGAAATTACTGAGCATTCACTAAACAGCCCCACAAACCTCAGCAGTGCCCAGCAGCTCTGGGGCTTCACCTGGAAACACGACATTCCATAGGAAAACGCTGCCCTCTAGTGCTCCAGATTTTAAACTGCAGGATGAGTTACCGATGTAATGCACCATAAAATACTAGGAAGCATCAGGACTATATTAATATTTGGAACTCCAGAAAAGCGTAGACACTAAGCACACAGTTAACATTTCTTTTACCTGGATTTTAGGGAGATATTAAATTTTTTTACTACGAAGGTGTCATAAAATATTCTCCATAAAGCTGCTGGCACAAGTACAGTCATTAAACTACCTGACTTCAATTACCTTTGAAGGTCTTCCTAAAAGTACCTTATAAGGCTTAAAGAACCTTGACTACTCTTTGGAAGCAAGTAATCATTAATTAAATACATTTTCTTGTAGAAAGCATATTATAAATAATACAAACGAGATTATTTGAAATATCTACTTTTGGCCTTTTTCAAACAAAAACATGGATTGCAGCTGAACACTTCTAAAAAAAACCCACTCTAAAATATTACTTACATAGCACCATATGGTTTTCAACATCATAAACTACTCTTTTACTGCTCAGTGACTTGGCATGCAAGAACCTTCCTGTACCTTCACAATAAGTTTCAGTATCAACAATAATGAGTAAAGTTCTGAATTCCCAAGTGTTTTCCCACATGCTTGCTTTTTCACCTAAATCTCTCAGGCTTCAGATGCATCACCTTCCCCTCTCAAAATTGTTTTCTTTTCCTCACTATGTCTTATTTATTATGTTTCCATTAATTCTGTTCTTGGTTACAAACCCTTTTTAAAAGAGAACGAGGCAAACAACCAATCTCCAAAACAAACAAACATCCCCCTCAAAAAATAAACCACCAAAAGAACACAAACACACAGAGCAACATCCACATACCAACATAGATAAAAGCAAGCACCTGACAATATAACTAAGACGACATAAAACCATCAGCCATCAGAATAAAGCTAATCTTTTGGGCATCATAAAATTTAAGCTCTGCTTAAATAATTATTTTTTTCAATTACTTATGTCTTAATCTTGGAGGTATTTTTATCCTGACTTAAATACATATTTTATGAAATTATTATTAGGTATGGTCTCCAACGATGAGATTAGAGAAGGAAACTGGAGAAGTAAACTACAGAAGGAAACAGAAAAACTAACTACATATGAAATATATAAAATGCAACAAAGCAAGCATAAGCAGGTATTTATATTTTATTCACATCCATGAGTTTCTGCTACTTTGGCAACTGCGCAGGAATAAATATTTTTGTAACAATACAACATCACAAAAATTAAAGAAACTACACACTATCTGGGCTATTTCAGAATAAATTAATGCCATATCTGATTTTAAAGATGTTAATAAGCTTTAAATAATTTCAGCTACAAGTGTGAACACACCTAGCTCTCCCAAGAATCACAAGTTAAATATTTTACTTTTTTGAGATGTATATTTACCCCATTAATGAATCATTGATTAGGCCAATCTAGCCCACTGCAATTTGCTGAGGGACATATCTAATAGGTATTGCAACTCAGCCAGACCCATGATCCAGATCTACTTCTGACTTACAGATGACCTCAGAAAAATGCATCAATCACTCCAATCACTATGTTCAATCATGGAAAGGGAAAAGTAATTAACAAGTTTCGCGGCTTCTGTAAAGTATAGAAATTATATGCATTATACCTAAGAATTAAACTCATCATGCACCTCTTTGAAGAGCTGCACCAAGCAAATCTCAGCAAGTTGCCTTTGCTAAAGGAATCCAGGCAATAAAATGGTGCATGATATGAAAGACAGAAAGCAAAGGAAAAGAACCCTGACATTTAGAATCAACAAGGTATTTCGTGAAATGGTCCAATTTTCCCCTATTGCTAAAATATGCTATGAGGTATTAAGAAACCTGTATTCCTTAATGGAAAAAAAATTAAAAGTAGATTTACAGTGATAATGTGATAATGCCACAATTTGGAACAAAGTAACATGAGGGCAAGTGTGGCAATCGACCATAATGAACTGTTGTGTCAAGCTTAGACAAAATTACCTAACTTGGGTAATTTCTAAGTCTAAATACTTAGAAACAAGTAATTTAAGAAGATCAACACAAACATTCTTCAGCTTTCCAATATTCAGAACACTTTGCTTGCATAATGGAAAAGGCTAAAACTCCTAAGTTCTTAAGTCTTACATTACCAATTGCAATTAAAAAACAGGGCACATATCACAGGCAGCCAAAATTCTGATTTGTGCTCAGAAGCCTTTCTTTGTACAACTTTGTACAACATGAACTTTCTGTTTCTTTACAGGGTAATGAGGCAGCAAAATGTGCATCAAGATTACATGTAACCATTCATCCCAGCATTTCCTTCATACTAAAAAGACTTACTCCATAGCTGAGGAAGTTTCTCTAACAATTAAAGCTTCTATAAAGATTTAACAGAACTGAACTTTGCCATATATTGTGATATTAACCAAATTCTATTGTAAACATACTTCTCCATCAGAATTAAAACTAGCAGTATTTAAGGGATTTTATTTTTATTTTATTTAAGGAATATTACTTTTTATTATATGAAGAGATAATTGTTTTCGTCTGCAGGGAAACTAATCTTAGCTAAAAATTATCTTTATATTATGGATTTTAACAACTTCTAATACAGAAATGCAGATCTTTAATACACTACACAGAGATACACAGACACATGTATCCTGTTACAGTGTCCTGCCTTGCTTCTTTAGGCAAAAGTGCATTTTTAAATGCCTCTGAACAAACACAAAGCAGCAAATGACCATACAGGCTTGAACATTAAACACTATAAAAAACTCTGTCCCTTGAAACAGAGTTCATACTGCAATCACATCTCACACACACACCTGGATTACATATTAGCAGAGAAGTAGTTCACCTTAAAGGAGATAAAGAAAAAAAAGACAAAAAAAGACTCTTCCAATAAAATCTGTGAAATCCTTTTCCAAAAAAACTTCATTTAAGTCCTGAATTTGCTGCAGAACAGCAAATCCTTAAGTTATAACTGAGTTTACTGGAATGGCACATCTGAGTATAGGCATCTAGTAATTTTTCAATATTTATCTGATTATAGTTCAGAATAATACAAAGAGAGACTTTTAATTCACCTGAAAAGCAACCTTTAAAGCTACTTACATCATCAGCTGAATATTAAAAATAAATACCTAAAACATATTTGTGCTTTTTCTTTGGATGAAACCATATAAAAAGGATATCTACTCAAGAATGCAAAAAGAAGGTTTAGATTTGTTTCAAATGCCAAGTAATGAGAGATCAGGAATTAGACAATTTAACTCTTTTCAAAACTATTTAATATAAGTGAAGAAACTTATTGTTTGCCCAGCTTTGTTTTACAGGACTAGAAGTGCTGCACAAGAAAGTAAACACATTCTGACAAAAATAGAAAGACTTACCTTTTTAAAAACTTTTCCGGATGGCTGGATTTCATCTTCCTCTTTCAGGATTTCACGTGTTCCCAAGAGTTTTTTGTCCTTAAATTTAGTCTTTGCATATTTAAAAACTTTGTCAAGTGTATCACACCCAGGATATAAAACTGAAGCTAAGCAATGTAGGCTGTTAACAGATCTGTAAGCACCCCCAGCCTTGTTATTCACAGGTCTGGCTTTAACCTGCTTGGCTTTTTCTATAGCCTGCTTTGATCCCGAAAGTATGTACCATGGAATGTATGTTACAAGGGTGTACACCAAAATTATAAAGTTTATCAACTGTAACAGAACAGGGTTGATGTTATGCTTCAACTTCATTTTGGCTGCTTGTGAAGGTTCCAAGAAGGAGTTTGGAAACATGAATCAACTACACAGGGATCCAAAGAGATCTGAAAAGGGAAAAGAAAAGGTAAGTGGTAAACTATCGCCATTGGCAGGGGATTATTTTCAAACACAATATTACAATCCATATCCCAGTAGGTCTTTTTATGCAGAAATTATGCTACAAGTCTAAATCCATAACACAAATGAAACAAGACATGTGACTGTAAATCAGCCTCCAAACAAGCCCTAAGAACACAAGCAATGCCACTGCTCTCTGTACATGGGAACCCCAACCACTGAGGATGCTGAAAGGCTTTTGCAGCATTAGACACACTGGGACACTTACATAAGAGAAGGAAGGCCCCGTATGTGACAGAACTTTGCTGGTTCTTTTATTCCTAGAGACTTCCCATCGGTCCCACGACTTCAGCCTCAGAACCAGTAGGCAATGGGCACACTTGTTATATCAATAAACATGACAATGAGTTAACTTATATTTGGTAAATGCTGGAAAATAGCTTAGAAATACCCCCAAATTCATAAACACCAGCACTATGAAGAGAAGTGTAACTTTTCACAGGGTCCTTAATGATGCCAGGATATTCACTTTGACTTTTTTAAAAGCATCATTTATCATATCCAATGACCACAATGATGATACTGTTTTCTAATGTACTCTATTTTTGAGTCAAGAAATTATGCCATCTACCTAAAAGATTAAAAAAAACCAAATCAACAAAACCATTTAAAACCTTATGGAAAACCGGTACACTTGCCATAATGGCTGAGGATGAATTTATGCAACAGCGAGTGAGACACCAGTTATTAAAATCAGTGTTTTGTACATAAAACAAAATGAACTACAAATGCATTTCGCTCAGGTAACTTTTCAAGGGTATGGATAGAACTTATTAATACCATAAATCAAACAACTAATAATGATACATACATAAGATGCACAGCTTCTGACAATACTAAATTAAGCAAACTTTCATTTGTAAGATATATTATTCTTTGCTGATGTCTTACACTCATTGACTCTTTGCCCACTAACTCTCCAAAAACCCTAAAGAAAAGAAATTTGAGTTGAAAAAGTTATGTTTAAGTCATGTAAGATCCTTCAGTAGTAATGAAAAGAAACCTTGCTTCATTAATCTTAGATCTGTAGGTCCTTTTGGGAACAGATCAACCCAACACCCTTCCTTTGTAGCATGAGATTAATTCCACCTTTCCCTAAAATATACAATTTCTTAAAACTCCAAGCAAAAATATTTCACTACCTTCTTCCCTAACAAGCTGCTGTAACCTCATTGTTAACATTGCATCATTACAGGCAGTTTGAAGGAACCAAGCAACATCAAAGCCTGCAGAGCACCCACAGATGCACACCCAAACCATAGGAGCTCTTCACAGTAGGGACTTACTGCAACAAGCAGCAGGGGGGAAAAAGGGATTTAAAAAAAAGGAAGTGTATGTATTTTAATTTTCAGATCAAAGGCAAAAAGCAATGACAAATTAAAAAAAAAAACAAACTTAAATAGGCTAAAGGGCAAACTCAGTAATCATTTGAATAGACTTATGTTCTTAGTCGGTCACCGAAGGATACTAAGGAAAATAATCATGAGCCAGCCAATAAGCTACTGCTGCCCAGAAAAATTGTGCTGTTGTTGATAGCAACATAGAACAAGATGTTTTAAAGCTAATCCAAAGTTCACACAGCAAAAGTTTACCCATTTCTCAAAAACTCTATGTTGCCCTATAATTTTGCCTGGCTCAGTTCAGAAGGGACACATCTTTTATGCTGGAGAATTCTCTGCCTACAAAGCAGAAAGAGAATATAACCCAACACAGTTATAAACAAAAACCTGAAGCAACTCATTTAATACCTTTAGGAAAACTCTTCTCCAAAGAAACTTCTTGTCTGACAAACAGTCAAGCCTGTCTAAAAATATTCTAAGTTTCATATCTTTCCTTGGTTAGAGAGACACTGAGCCCTTCTGGAATAGCAGCCTGTCATTTGATTTTGCAGTTATCCTAACAGCTTTATTCCTGCCTCAGAAGAAGAGAGGAACCTTTTTCACCATTTCTAAAATAACCACATCAAGGTCTCATGTCAAGCTCTCTCTTCTGGTTTACCTGAGGCCTTGCATATAACTCCCAAGTCTGGAAATGTTGGCTTTGAACTGCAAACGTAAATTGTGCTAGGCCCACCAGTTCATAAAGGCTGCACTGCAAGAAAGGGTCTAAGGAACACTACAACAGGACAGACTTGAGGGAAATGTTTTGAAATGTCACCCTGGCTCAGAAAAGTAAGCATCCAGCTCTAGAACTCTGCTCTAATGTACATCTTTTACCCCAAATAAATTGCTAATTATTTCAGCTCCTCCTTCAGAAAAGTGAGGCTATCACAAGTCATTTATTGCAAACAATTTCTTTTAAAAAGTAACACTCAAAAAAGTTTTTTCATTTAAAATGCAGTTTTTATAAGATTAAAAACTATCTTTGGCACATGCAGTTTCTTGTCTTAAAGGCAATGTAAGACTCCATTTTTCTTCCTTCAAAGTCTTATAATTAGGAGATGGCAAACTCTAGCAAGAGAGCACTCCTGTGCCGGTGCTGACAATGTGGCAATGGATTTCAGACTATGATATTTGCAGAGCATCTATGCTTGTAACTAATTGTAATTACCGTTGTAACTGGAAGTTGGAAAAGTGCAGTCCCTTTCTGAACAAGCAAGAAAAATATAATAGTCTCATCAGAAGGATAAGCTCCAGTATCTTTGTAGGGTGATTGTTCTAAGGAGACCTGAGCCATGACACAAAGGAAGTTCCTTGGTGGCAATGAAAAGGCTCCACCTCTTTCCTTGTATAACTGAAGAACAGAAGATGCATTTTAATTCATCATTTTGTTTATTTGTTTGATATGTTGTTAAAGAGAAAAATACCAGGTAAGCAAAGGAGATCAGTTTAAAATGCCTTCATCCTCAACAGATTTATCATTGCCATTCCTAATAGAAGAACATTGAAGTCAGCTAAATGGATCACTAAGCATGCAATAAAGAATTCATTTTGATGACAACACAGAAGCAAAACTCCACCCTAATGTGAGACTGGAGTTCTAGCTGTAAGACAATTATATTTTACTGCAAGCAAAACCAATGCAGTTGAACTTGACAGTGGTTTGTTTCTGTTTGGTTTGGGTTTTTTTAAATAAAAGGTCATTTAATCTCAAAAAAACCCTCCATTTTTAATGACAATGTAAAAGAAAAGGATTTTTTCATTAAATACAGAGAAAAATGCAAAAGTAAACACTTGTAACAATTGCTATTTCAAAACTTTACTGTAGGTTATTCTAAAAACTCAAAATAAAAATATTAATATTAATAATCAATTTGCAGAACTAATATGAAAATTAAAAGTTTTAGTAAATTTTCAAGGTTTTATCAGATTTGAAAGGCTTAAAAGAGATGCACTGTTGACTGTTTAACATTCTGCCTTTAAAAAAGCACCACCAAACAACAACAACAAAAAAAAAAACCTCTGAAAGGTTTAGTAAAATACTATACAGGGCTTTACAATTTCATTTAAATACAATTTGTTGTCACTCTAATAACTTTTGAAGTACGTGACTTTTGACCATAAAAAGACGGTAAGTAAACCCAACATTTTCAGCCAGGGCATGGAAAGCAGAGGACATGAGCCTAAGCAGTTTTTGCAAGTATTTGACTATGACACAGCGAGAAAGTCCATTGCCTTTACAATGCATGAGTTTTGTTCTTAGGTAGCTCCTGCTGACAAATAAAATCACTGACAAATAAAAATACCTGACACGTGGTAATATTCTAACTAAGCGGTTCAGTCTGCAGATTAGCTGTTAACACTCGGGTGCTTACAGAACATGCATCCATCCTGGTTTCACACAATCCTCCTGGGGTTTTTGAAAAAAAAAAATCAATGCTCAAACCCTGAGTAGTGATGCAGGAAAAGTTGGGAGGTTAAATCCTGGAGGGAAGAGCTGCTAACTTATGCAAGAATACAACCTATAGAAACCCTGTGCAAGCAAATGATTCCACAACAGCTTTTTGGTTACATGGGACTGTTTCATGAAGCTGTCACCAAATGGGAAAGAGCAAGACTACAAGTTAAAAGTTTACATACTTTTTTCAAGAACAAATTGAGAAGCAGCAATCAGCACACTCATGAATGAGTCTGGAAAAGTAAACCAGCTCTTTTCAGGACTGATCCTGCTTAATACATAATCAGTGATTTTGCCTGATATACTACTTATACTAATACTGTTATACCCTTTAGTTTTAGAGGCAAACTTATGTTAGATGAGAAAAAAAAAATCCTTAAAGGAATGTGCTTACTAATTGGCCTGCTTATAACAATTACACTACAATAAAAGCATGAATTAACAATAAAAAAAAACCTTATGCAACTTCTCATGGTGGCAGGTACAGGTACAACAGGCGATACAAGATGTTCCCGTCTCAGTTTACTCAACAGGAGCTGTCACAGGCAACTGCATGAAATCTAAAAATGGAAAATCCCCATTAAATATGGCAATTATAAAACATATCCTCCATTCTTTCACTTGTATTATGTAATAAATAAAGCCTTTTGCTCATCTGATACTGCACTGTATGACCTCGGAGAGTGCAGACCCACTATCTCCAAGTTAAGTAAAGCCAACTTTAACACAACCATGGCTCAGACTCAAGTCCTGTACAATCAGGGGGCTGGAAGCACATTAGTTAAACTCAGTAGCTCATGGTATTTGCCTCCCTGACAAATTCTAATTCCCCAGTGGCTTTCAGTGTACACTGGTTCTACCATTAGGGGTAAAAAAAACCAAAACCAAACGTACCTATCTTTATCTGTCTACACAGAGAACACATTTCAGCCTGAGTAACAAATATTCCTGAACACTTTATAAAAAGACTAAATAAAGTACTAATCATTGCATTTATTGACTTTGCTCTACTATACAAAGTTTTATTTATTGCCCTCTGCAGAAAGAAGTCTTGACCTGTGCCAGCAATTCACATTTAAAATATGCAGCAAATGTAAACATTTTGTACCTATTACCTTTGTGCAAACATTATTATTTACATAGCTATTCAGTTCATACAGATATAATATTTTCCAGTTTCACTGGATGTACTATTTGCTGCTTGAGGTGAACACCAATGCGTTCAATGCCTCATTCGACTTCCTTGATTTCACACATACTAATTAAACAAAACCAAGCCTATGCTTCACAAGCAAATTCCCTGGACTAAGAAGCAAGGCAGAGCCTGAGGTGATGAACGGTGCACAGAAGAATCCTAAACACGGACCCATCTAAGCAGAAGATCTCTTTTGCAATATGGATTTAAGACACAGTTATATCTGAAAACAGATGTTCCTCACAGCTACAGCTAAAGTGTCTTCACACATTTCTTGAAACTGAGAGGATGGAAATCCCAACAAGCCCAACTGAATGGTGGAAATGGATGCCTTGGATCCCTGGAGAGGAGCTGGTGCTCAGCACATCTTCCCGATTTTGAAGCGACAGTAGAGTGAGCACAAGGACACACCTCAGCTCCCCAATTAACCCCCCATTGCTTCCTCAAGCCTCTCCTCCCACCACCTCCTGCATCCCCAGAGAGCTGCTGCCCTGGACTGCTCACAGGACCCATGTTGCTCACCAGGGCCCAGTGCCCTCCAGGCCATCCTGGCAGTCCCCTCTCTTACGTGTCCTGAGGGTTCCACACAAGCACACATACCGTCCTTGTATTGCTTGCTGATTTTTCAGCCTCCACGTCCCTCCATGTCACCCTTTTCCAGGCTGCTGCCTGGGTCTCAGTATCACTTCAAGCACAAAGGAGACCTTCCACATGCTTCTCAAACATCCACAAAACCCTTCACCAGGCAGACTTGAAACCCTGTTACAAAGGGTTGCCTCTCTGGAGTCAAGCTGGGAACAGATCCATGGCTCTGTCCCAAAGGACATCTGCTTTCAACAGGGTGCTCAGCAAAGCAGTGCTCACAATACCAAGCACCCACTGGAAACAAACCTAGCGGGACCTTCCTCCACAGCTCCACATCACCACACAGGGCTTGTTTGTAGCCTCTGCTACAGAAAGATCTAGAACAGGATTGCATGGCTGTAACAGACTGACCCACACAAAGGTTTTTTTGACACTTTTTCAAGCAGGCAGACACAAAGAAATTATTCCCACATCAACTCCGGCCCTTGATTTCTCACTCCCAGTCCCGAACAAGAAATAAGCTGTCTCTCCCTGGACTCTGCCCTCTGCTGCTACATGCACACTGTGAACTGTTGTTAGCTTACACACATTTGGTGGGAGACCAAAATTACTACTGATTACATGATTACTCTTCTCTCAAAAGGAGGCAGATCTTCTGGACACGGGGAGAATAACTGCTCTCTGCAAGCATATCTAGGGTAATTCTGAGCTACCTTATTCAGATCACCTGTAGCCTCCAGCTCTGACCCATCTCTTTCACAACCCTGGGTGAATTCTCAGGCTTTTTAAAAGGTTCTCATTGCTCTTCTGTGGAACACAAACAGGCACTGGCAGATTGCTGGAGCCACCTCACCACGCCTGCTCCCACAACTTGCCCCCCCAAAAGGCATCAGCATAACCAAATCCACAACTTAACTCTCTTCTCTGCACGAGTGGGTCTCTGAAAAGCACAAGAAGGCACACACAGACCATCAGGAAAGAGACAGCACAACCTGGAACGAGCCAGTTTCCACAGTAAGAGTTTAGCAAACCGCTGGGGCAGCAAAGGTTGGCCACGAACTGCACAGCCTGAGGGTGTGATTTCAGTTTGGCTCAAGCAGGTTTAACTGGGCTGCTAATAAAAACAGACTGTTCATCTCCAAAGTGTAATTCAGCTCTTTCCTTCCATTGTACCAACACACAAGTGCCTATGTGGCTAGGAATGAGTCAGATTAGCTTGCTGATCCAGTTTAAACCCTCTCCTTCTCAGGGCAGAACAGTGGATTTTCCTTTGTATCAACACTGGTACTTACCCGAGCCTAGGGTGAGTCACTCCAGGCACCAAAATCAACAGAAAATTAGCACTACAAAAGAAGTTATTCTTCTGTTATCTCAAACTGAGTAACCATGAATATGAGTTAATGCCAAGGCAAAACTGGAGGAGGAGAGGGAAGGAGACTGGCAATCGTACTGCAAATCAAACCTCCACTGAGCCGTAGAAGACCAGAGATCAGCACAGACCAACAGCAGAACGCCTTGTGACTCTTCAGCAGTGCACTGTGGGATCAGAGAAGAGCTGCGGACTGGAGGATTAACCTGATGCTCTCTCTACTAATGATCTCTCTACTTAGTTTTTCTGGAGGTCACCGTTGGGGGTTGCGACTAGTACAAACCTAAATACCTTTAAATTCTGGATGTAGGCTAATAAACATTCCTATAAAGACAAACATGCCAATGTTTGTAAAATGATACTCCTATTTCCTTAGGAGGCAGCCAGAAGGTGTTAGGATAAAATTGTTACGTAATTGTTAAACACCAAGATACTATAACAGTAGGAATAACACGAACCAAACAAGTCCTTTACTCTAGAGAGATGCTTTCTACTCTTTTAGCTAAATTTTGAGACAAAAAGTTTTATTATCTAGGAAAGTTTTTTTTTCCTCTTAGTAGGATCACTTACTTTGGGGGGGGGGAAATCACACCTAGTGGCAACAGACAACAGGGAGGCAAATGTGGTAGCAAAGAACTAGAGTAGGCAGAAGGAGCTGACATTTCTTGAAGGCAAAGACCTGCACTTTCTCTCAAATGGATCCTTCGTATATCCTTCGTTTATTTTTAAAAAGGTAATGGTGAGTGTTAAAAACTATTTGACATCAACCTCTTCTACATACTTCCAAGCCCCTCTGTATGAAATATCACTACATGCTGCAGGACAGCAAGAGGTTCAGGTTTGTACATCTATCCTCTGCTTTCTAACAAAACAAAGACAGTAATATTTCTGAGAACCTAAAAGCTAAAGTGAAATCACAAAGCAGACAAGCAGCTTCATTTTTTTTTTGAAAAAGCCCTTACAGGACCCTCAATGCACAGTCTGACTGCACAGGCTACAATTTAAGTTTAAACCTTTGTTACAGGTGAAAAATAAAACTAAATCAAAATGAGTTCAGCACTGATGAGCTCCAGGAGCAACACTTAAACAGGCACTTCCAAAGTTACCTTCACCCACAACACAAATACCCATTCAATAAAATCAACTGAAAATGAAAACCACATAGCAATCCTGCATCTTAGATTTTTTTCTATTCAAAACATTTAAAAACTTATTTTCCTTAAGTAATTTTTTTACCTTATACAAGACAGTTGAAATGGATTGACAAGTACATCTTCTATTAATAAGAACAGTAAAACACAGCTCTAAGGTAACAACTGTTGTCAGCAAACCTGAAAGCACTTCCCAAGATGAAAACAGTGTGCTAAAAACATTTACTCAAAGTCATGGAACGAAGTAATGGCTATGCCAGAACACAGTCCCGTGCTGCTACATATCTGTTATCTCCTTCTCCTCCCACTACATACTACTGCTTCATGGCAAACAAGTGTCTTACTTGTTTCAGACACTTTATCAGATACTGTCAATATGCTGTTTCCACTCCTTTTTATAAGAAGGTCTTAGAGCATGTAAGAGATGTATTCAATACCAAACTAAATTCAATGTTTTCACGTTTTTGTCAGAGAAACAAAGAAATTAATGGATAAAGTACCTTACTACTGGAGAAGACCTCAGAGGAACTTTGGTATCTACAAATTCACTGACAGAGAGAAAATCCCACCAACTTCCCTGGCATACTGCTAGATTTTTAAACCACGGATACAAATTACACTTAAATAAGAACACTAATACCACTGTACATACAGTATGAAAAAAAATCTGCATAAAAATAAGCCAGAAGCTTCACCATTATTCCCAGCTTTTGGCTACTGAAGAAGGGGAGTAATGGCCAACTTATCACCGCCAGTTTATCACTCCCCAAATTCCTACAATCACTTTCCACTCGTTTAAGTCAATCCTTTTAAGTATTTCCACTGGGAGGCAGACTCTGCTTTTCATCTGAATCGAAGGGACTGACCAGAATGGTTTATATGCTGTTTTCTACTACAAAACAGCCTAAGATCACTTCTCCAATTTCTGGGAAATCTGAAATGCTAAGGCATAAACAAAACTGGTTTGTTTGTTTCTTAGAAAACAAAACAAAAATAGATGTCCTGATGCCATACATTCAATGTGGTTTGTGCTGTATCCTAGTCATGTATTTGTCAGATCGGAACAAAAAAATCTAACACAACAACCTCATGAATTTTTAGCAGTGAGGCTGCTTCTGTTTTTTTTCTCCAGCAGAAGCTATGCATGCATAAGAGTGTTCTTATTTAGACTGAGTTCATGCAGTGTCACAATAAAAATTACCCATTACCCTATGTTCATCTTTTAAAAAATACCAGGTGGCCAGGTCCAAAATCTGGTTA